AAGGGAAGGAGGCCAGAGTACCCTAAACACCCCGGCTCCGTGGCCTGGACGCCAGGCGCGCCCCCCGCTGGCGCCTGCTCCCTCCATTTTTTTTAGGGAAACGAAAAAAAAAAAAAGGGAAAAAACACCCACCCCGGGGGGGGGGGGGGGGGGAGGGTCTGATGCAATTTTTTTTCCCAGGTGAATTTTTTTATGCCCTTCCCCAATTTCCAGCAGAAAAAAAATGTACCCCTCCCCCTTGTATGGCCCAAAAAAGTTATGACCCTCCCTACGCTAAAAGATATGACAGGAATTATTAAACGAGATCGACTTTTACCTTGTGCTCTTCATAACAAAAAGCGTGTTTCTCTCCTCCCTAATCTTGTACAGGTAGCAACACGAGGAATTGTCATAATCGTTCTCATCACTTTCCTCCTCTTCCTTAGAGCTTGAAGAACCTATTTCTGCTAATACAAAGTCCACCTCCTCATCTTGTTCCTCATCCTCTGATGAAAGAGTTGCTTCTACCAACTCTTTGTCACTATCAAACTATTTCTGCTGCGTTGCCGAGTTTGTTCAATTACTTATTATATTTCTTTGCACTTCAATCAATTTATCTTTCTTTAAAGGATGATGGTATTGTACGTATTTGTCCACCACAGCACCTGTTTGCTTACTCAGAATCCCATCATTGAGCAAGCCAACCCAATCATAGTCTTGGTAAGTCATTTTAGCTTTAACAGACGACTTCTCCAGTCTGTCTTTCTTTCTGTTTTTCTTCTTTAGCTCCAACAATTTCAAGTGCTCCAAACATGTTTTCACACATTCTTCTGATACAACAAACTCCTGTGCGAATTTTCAAATGCTGTCAAGATCTACCAGAGAGTATTCACCTGACTGATATGCTTTCTTTAACTGGGCTCGTTCGCCATTCTTTGTTGGATGCATTTGCAGTCAGAATGTGTTTCAAGAGGCTTTGATCGAAACGCTCAGGCGGTCCATTGGCTTGTGGCCAGTATTCAGTTACTATTTGCAATTTCACGCCCCATGATTTCAGGGTGGAACGGAACTCGTGGGGTGTGAAAAAACGAGGCATTGTCCCACTAAATTTCGTAGGGATAACCATGTGTGGCAAACACTGTATCAAGCCTAGTTAAAACGTTAGAAGAGGTGACTGACTTGAGGTTGTGCACCCATAACGACTGGCCATCTTGACTAATAGTCAGTTAGGACAACGACTGATTGTCCTGTGTGAAATGGTCCACACACATCAGTAGCTAGGTGTGTCCAGGGCTCTTTGCGAAGGTTAGTTGGACAGACTGGTTCCGGACGTTCAGGTCTGCTGGTGATTTGGCAGGGGTGACAAGACTTGATATTTTCTTCAATATGGGTATCCATCTGGGGCCGCCATAATTTTGAACGGATACGTTGTTTATATTTCGTCATCGCTGCATGGTCCTCATAGGCGAGTGCGATGGCATTTGGTCTAAGACTGATTGGAAGTACCATGCGGTTACCTCGGAGTAAGACGCATTGGTCGGTAACACAGTTAATCTGCCACAGATCTGTACTGCTGGGGAAGTTTGTAGACATGGTTTCCCTTGACATGATTTCTGATTTGGGTCAATTCTTCACCTTCTAAGGATGCTTTCTGAATTTCTTCAATGGTCATGGCTTGTGGTACTAGTTGCTCGGCAATATAATGTACGTATCTGTCTGCGCATGTTTTCATGTTACTCCTGGGTAACGTTTTGGGCGGGCGAGACAATAGGTCGGACAGGTTGTGTTCTCAAGGACGATAGACTGTCTTGAAGTCATATTCTTGTGAACGTAATACCCACCTCTCTACTCTGGCTGAAGTGGTTTTGCCTTGAGAGCTAACCTCTGTGTTCAAGTTGGCGGTGGTCAGTCTCCTGTTCAAAATGTCTGCCGTACCGGTAGAAGTGTTCGCAGCCAAATACTATTGCGAGGGATTCTTTCTCGATCTGGGCATATTTTAGCCTCCCCGCTTACGTCCTTTGGGGTTAGTTTGTCACGTATTCATTTCTCCCCTACATGACAAACGAACCCCAAAGGACGTCTGCGGGAAGGCTAGGCATATTTCATCTCAACATCGGTTAGGGAACCACTTCCATCAGCGATCGGTCGTTAAGAAGAATCTGTTTGCTGTTGTAGAAGTACTGCACCGAGTGCTCAAGGTGAAGCATCTGCTACAAGTCGAGTGGGTGCGGTGAGGCTGTAGTGGGCTAACACTGGCGGAATTCCTAGGGCTTGTTTGAGTTCGTTGAAACTGTCTTTTGTTCTTGTCCCCACTGAAAGCAACGGTTGCTGTTAGTTAACTACTGTAGGCGGCATGTGATGGTACTGTAATCTGGTACATATCTGGAACAGTAATTTGTACGCCCAAGGAATGACCGCACTTCTGATGCACACTTTGGTTTGGGGGCATTGACTACTGCTTCAATCTTCTTGTTGTCGGGTCGAATTTCTTGACCAGAAATGATATGACCAAAGACGTTGATTTCAGGAACTCCAAAGAACATTTGGATAGTTTTAGGGTGATATCATTATCTTGGAGAGTTCAAAGGAGCTTGTCAAGTTCTTTAGCGTGTACAGCCATGTCCTTGGATCATAACCAGATGTTGTCTGATATTGATGATATTGTTGTCTGATATGGTCTGATGTTTATTTATTTAATCGCTTTCACCATGATTACAATACTAAAAAAGACTAGGGGAAAAATACATTTGAACAAGACACAAAACGAAGGAGGAGCGCGTGGGACACACAACAGAGCGAGGCTCCAAATTTAGTGTGCCCTTACGGAAAATACACAAATACTAACTATGTAAACTGTTACAGGACTTATATTCCCGATTTTGAACATATATTAAAAGTTAATAAAAGTTCGATCAATATCCAATCAATAGGCTTTTAAGGTTCTAGAGCATTCTAAGTGTTTACCTTTAAAAATGCAACATAATGAATAAACAATTTACTAATAAGCTTTGCATGCAGAAACATAAATATTAACAGTGTGCTTTTTGAGAGTGGGACATCTTGTCTCTAAATTTGACATCCCTCGGAAGATAGTTATCTTTTAAATGAACATTTCGACCTTTTTAGTAATTAACTAAGGAAGCATAAGTTTTGTGGCTCTTTTTTGTTGGCAGATACATCCTACGCATTATATGTAAACCTATTATCAATGACCATCAAACAAATAAATAGAGAGCTTTTGAGGAGTAAGCTTTTACAGAAAAAGACTAAGCAGCTACAGATAGATAGAAAAAGAGAAGAACATCAGCAAAAGTGTAGAACCGCCTTGCGAGTAAGTAAAATAAACCTTGTAAGTTTAACTGGCTGATTTTGGTGGAGTTCCTCTCCTTCTCGCCGACCCCATCAGTAAAGGACACTAAAAAGCATCGTTTGCCAGTGGAGAAGCCTTCTTTATCAGTAGCACGCAAATAACCTTTTTCAGAGGTGGACTGAGTTGCATTCAGCAGAGTGCTAAAAAAGCCAGTTTTTCAGTGGTGCAGTTTGCTACGATCCTGGTATCTATTGCCTCGACGCCTCCAACGAACGACCCAAGTTCCTTATAACACTGTTTCTGAAGATTATTTGATGGCTCCATCATTCTTCATGGCTCTCTTCTAACTCCCTATTATGAAGATTATTGAACACAACGGAAACAAAAGGACGTCGCATCCATATAAATTTACAGATAACCGCCCGCTTCACCGACAACTGCGAACTCGGTTCAGTACATAAAGACTATCATTATAATCGTGAACTCCGTTAAATGACTCTTAGTCACTTTTGTTCCTGCCTTCTAGCTTTAAGTCTTGTTTAACTAGCTATATCTTACTATGCTTATTATCTTATTTTAAAAAGCAAATCTTAGAATTGTTATAACTTTTATGATTTAGACATAATTTAATATTTATATTGTAAACTTTAGCGTCAGTCCAATATGTCTTTTGAAGAAGCGCTGTGTAAGTTAGATCAGCTTATAAGTCGACAAAATGATTACTTCGGTTATTTTACAGATGACGTAACACACCATAACTGCGCTGAAGAACGTTTGGAACTATTTTCCGGTCGCGAATCACAGGATATTTATTGCTGGCTCGAGAAATTCGAAAATCAGTTTAAGGGCTGCGATCGCAAACTAGATTCAGTATGTTTGGCCGCTAACTTAGCATGTCGTTTAACGGGACTTGCCAAGACTTTTTATTTCTCTCTCGAACCAGAGACACGAAAAAATTTTGATCTCTCATCTAAGGCGTTAAAAGAACGATTTTTCTCCGATGATTTGAAACGGCGGTTACGACAGTCACTCATTTCAAGACAACAGGGTCTCCATGAATCTTTGGATTCTTAGAGCGGTTTTCATTTGAGTGTCGAAAAGTAATTGGTTTTGCACTTTCTACACGATACGATTGGCTTAAAAGATTCGCGCCACCTTTTCATCCAATCAGAAGTAAAACCAAAGCCAATTGTGACGCGCTCGCATGCATTTTCCCGCGCTTTGCGTCAGCCACATGTAATTACTTCGAGTTTTGATTGGTTCAATGTATTGTCTGTGTCCTATGTGATTGGCCAGAGTAATTACTTTGGTTTTGGTTTTACGACA